GTGTCCCGCGGGATAAACTTGCCCACCGTCCTCACAGCCTACGAAACACCGAAAATGAAAATGAATAACTTCATCAGAAAAGTCTGTAGTTCTGTTAAAGATATAATCGAAACGTGCTGTACAGATATCCATTCTCATTTACACCATTTTTTCTACATTTGTCCCAGTGAACACTTTAACACAGCGACAACTATCACGAGCCGGTGACAGTGAGGTTGTATAAGACCCCTAAATATGACAACCCCCTTCGTATATTACCACAACGACAAACCTACACGAGGAGCTGACAGTGGCGTTGGACCAAATACGTCCCTCTTGACAACGGTGTTCTCGGCAGCCGTCAAACCACTCGGACCCGTGGTTGTACCACCGCCCTTTGATTTCACAGCCTGGAAGGATCGTAGTGTTTAATGTTGGTCCTCTCTTGTCAATGCTACTAACTGCATGGCTAGAGAACAAAAGCCTTAATCAGCAAGTGTGAAGTTTGCTTTGGGATGGATGATAATGAAATCATCTCGCTCTGCCGGCGTGGACAATAGAGTTTCGAGTTGCAAAGTTGAAATTGAAATTATTGCAAATTAGGATATACAGAGATTACCAAAACTGGGGCAACTATCAATGGACATGGCAGGCATAATTGGCTTAAATTAACATAAAACGAAGAGGTATTAGTATTATTCACCATTATATCAGTAATTATTACTTTTTTTCACTAGTACCACCACTGGTGTTATTTTTTATTACAATTGTTTTATCATTACTGTTATTATTTATAATATTAATATCATCATTACGATAATTATTATTACCGTTATCATTATCATTACTATTGTTCTTATTATCTGTATTATTAATATTATTATTATCATTTATTATTGTAATGAGAACAATAAAAAAATAATAAAATAATAATAATAATAGTAATGGCAATACAAATAACAATAATGATGATAAGAATAACAATAGTAATAAATATTAATAATAATAATAATGATAGTAATAACTACAATAATAATATAGATGATAATGAAAAAACAATAATAATATACATGGTGATTAAAATTATCATTAATAACAATAATAATTATAGGGATAATAATGATAATACTAATGATAATGATAAAAATAATATTAATATAATATAATATAATAAATAATAATGATAACAGTATTATTAATAATAATATCAATAACGATAATAATAATGAAAATAAGACCAATAAAAATAAGAATCACAGAAAAATAAATGACTATATAATAATAACGATAATGTTAATGATAATAATAATAATAATAATAATAATAACATAATAATAATATGATAGAAACATTAATAACACTAATGGTAATAATTACAAAAGTATTAACAATGATAAAGATGATAATGATGATAACAATAATATAAATAATAATAATATTAACTAATAATAATGATAATAATTAAAGAAAATGAACAATAATAATTACTATCATTATCACTATTATTGATATCATTATAATCGTTATTATTCATTTTTTTATTATTACCATCATCATCATCATCATAATTATTATTATTATTATCATTATTATTATTATTATTATTATCATTATTATTATTATTATTATTATCATTATTATTATTATTATTATTATTATTATTATTATTATTATTATTATTATTATTATTATTATTATTATTATCATTATTATCATTATTATTATTATTATTATTATTATTATTATTATTATTATTATTATTATTATTATTATTATTATTATTATTATCATTATTATCATTATTATCATTATTACTATTATTATTATTATCATCAATATTATTGGTAATAAAAATACAAATTATAATGATAATAACAATACCAATTATAATCATAATAATGATAACAGTGATAGAAATATCGATTCCAATAATAATGCCAATGAATAATGATAATTATTAAAAATATTAAAATATCAAAAACAAAAACAGTATTAACAGTATGATTAATAATAATAATAATAATAATAATAATAATAATAATAATAGTAATAACAATAATAATAAACAAAATTATCAACCCGAATAATGATAATAATAACAAAATTTGTTACTATCAATACTTTCACTATTTTTATTATTGTTATCACTGTGACTATTATTATTACTATTATTATCATTATTATCATTATTATTTTATTATCATTATTATTATCATAATAATAACAATGATAATAACAATTATTATTATCATCATTATATAATAATAATAACAATAATAAGAATAATAATAATTATTATTATTATCATTATTATTATTATCATCATCATTATTATCATATTTTTATTATTATAATTATTATAATAATAATAGAAATATTGATTATAATAATGATTATGATAATGATAAAGATAAAGAAGATAATAATAATGACAATGATAATGATTATAATGATAATAATGAAAAAATTGTGATAACTATGATGATGATAATTTAAATCATAATAATAATAATAATTATAA